ATTTTATTTATTTGGATGCTTCTGTATTGGGTGCATATATGTTTACCACAGTTATAATCTCTTGTTGTATCAATCCCTTTAGTATTATGAAGTGGCTTTCCTTATCTCTTCTTCTGGCCTTCAATTTGAGGTCTATTTTGTCAGATATAAGTATTGCTACCCCAACTTTTTTTATTTCCATTTGCCTAAATATTTTTTTTTATTTCTTCACTTTTAGTCTGTGTGAGTCCTTTGTTCTGAAGTGTGTATCTAATAGGCAGCGTATATGTGGGTCATGTTTTCTTACCCAATTGGCTATCCTTTGTCTTTTGATTGGAACATTTAATCCATTTACATTTAAGGTTATTATTGATAGGTATTTGTTTGTTGCCATTTTTATTCTTGATGCTTGTGTTTCTTCCTCCCTTTCTATTTCTTCTTTTTACAACAGTCTCTTTAGCATTTCTTAGGTTGCTGGCTTGGTGGTAATAAACTCCATTAGCCTTTTTTTTTTTTTGTCTGTGAAGCTCCTAATTTCACCTTCAATTTTGAATGATAGCCTTGATAAATAGAGTATTCTTGGATTCAGTTCCTTGCTTTGCATCACTTTGTATACTTCATTCCATTCTCTGCTGGCCTGATGTGTTTCTGTTGAGAAATCAGTTGATAGTCTAATGGGGGATCCCTTGTAGGTGACTTTCTGTCTCTCTCGCAACCTTTAAGATTCCTTCTGTCTTTTATGTCTGCCAATTTAATTATCATGTCTTGGTGTGGGTCTTTTTTGGGTTCATCTTGATTGGGACTCTGCATGCTTCTTGGACTTGTGTGACTTTTTTCTTCCCCAAGTCTGGGAAGTTTTCTTTCACTATTTCTCCAGATAGGTTTTCTATACCTTGCTCAGCTTCCCCTCCTTCTGGCATCTCTGTTATGCAGATGTTGATTTGTTTTATGTTGTCCCAAAGTTCCCTTAGACTCTCTTCCTGCTTTTTATTTTTTTCCAGTTGTTCCTCTGCTTTGGTGATTTTTTCTACCTTTTCTTTTAACTCACTCATTTGATCCTCAGATTCTTCTAGTCTTCTGTTGAAACCTTCCATTGTGTTCTTTGTTACAGCTATGTCATTCTTCATTTCCTCTTGATTGTTATTCATGTTGGTGTATTTCTCATTCGCTCTTTATAATTTTCGTTGAGTTGCATGTAATTCTCATTAAGGTGATTGGGCATCCTTATAACCATCACGCTGAATTCTTTCTCTGAGAAATTACTTGCCTCTATTTCATTTCATTCCTTTTCTGGTGATTTATCCTTTTCTTTCCTCTGGAGATTGTGTTTTGTTGTTGTTGTTGTTGGGTTTTTTTTGTTTGTTTGTTTTTGTCTCCCCACTTTTGCTGTCCTGTACTTATTTCTGTGTTTTAGATCACACTGCTATGAGACCCAAATTTTGGGGAGTTCGTCCAATATAGTAGGTGTTTACTGGGACCCAGTGTTGCAGTCTTTCAGATCTGGGTGTTCTAGGAAAGCCCCCTGCTTGAGTTATTTGGGTTCTCATGATGTAGTTGGGTCTTGAATGTTGTTGTCTGTTGTTGTCCCATTTGTGGATGGAGTCTCCTCACAAGTTGCCTGACTATGTGACTCAACCCCAACCTTGTGCAAGCTGTTGTGGATGTGCTTGGGGTCCCAGCTTCCATGGCAAGGTTTGCCTGAGGTCTCACTAGCATGCAACTTACTGCAGGGTTCTGTAGCCCGCTGCCAGAGTGGCTCACTACTCTGGGACTCACCGCAGGGTCCTGGAGCTCATGGACAAGGTGATGCAACTCATTGTGGGGTCCCGGAGCCCATGACAGGGTGGCATGTGACTCTGTGACTCACTGCAGGGTATCCCAGAGCCCGCAGCTGAGGTAGTGTGACTTTGGCTGGGGTGCTGTGCACTATGTGAATCACTATGTGGTCCCAGAGACTCCAGATGGGTTTCAGTGGTCCCAGACTCCACAGCTGAGGTAGTGCAACTCTGGCTGAGGTAGCATGCACTCTGCAAATTACTACACAGGCCAGAGTGGTTTTCAAGGCCAGTCTGGGTGATGGTGAGTCTGTGTTTCTAGACTTGGCTGCTCTCCCCTTCAAGATGGAGTGGTTTCTGTGCCAGAGCCTCGCTGCCTGGGCAGTGCCTGTGGTGGTAGCAGAATCTCTCTGTCCAGGAGTGCCTCATCTGCCAGCCCCAAGACTTCTATGAGATCTAATTGTCCCTCATTCACACCCACACACAACCACCATGCACATCTGCACACTCCCCTCTCACTCTCTTACTCACTCACACTGTCTCTCTCACTCCTGTCCTGCTGGCTGACATGTTTTCTCTCTGTTTCCTTAATTTTTTATGTGTCTTGAAGTTTTATGTTGATTTTGAATTTGAAGTAGTAGTTATCTCTTCCAGTCTTTACTTGTTGCCTTCAATTGGGAGACACTTTACTTTGATCCTGCTTATTTCTGGGTCTTTCACCAATCTTATATAAATACTAGAGGCCTAGTGCACTAATTCGTACACCAGTGGGGTCCCTTGGCCTGGCCTGCGGGATCAGGCCAAAACCAGCTCTCCAACATCCCCTGAGGGGTCCCAGATTGTGATAGGGTGCAGGCCAGGCCTAGGGACCCCACCAGTGCACGATCAGGGCTGGGGAGGGATGTGGGACGTTGGCCAGCCAGGGAGGGACCGTGGGAGGGCTCCAGAGTGTGTCTAGCCCATCTCACTCAGTCCCGATTGGCCGGACTCCAGCAGCAAGCTAACCTACTAGTCAGAGTGTCTGCCCCCTGATGGTCAGTGCATGTCATAGTGAGCAGTTGAGCGGCCTTAGCATATCATTAGCATATTATGCTTTGATTGGTTGAACAGATGACCAGATGACCAGACACTTAATATATTAAGTTTTATTATATGGGATACTTGTCTCATGTGTCTTTCTCTCTTATCACAGAATTGCTAAGCCTGTATGTCTTTTTTTGATCTCGAAATTTATCAGGCTGGCTTCTGGAATTCTTTTATTTCCCTAAAAGTGGCACTTCAGCTCAAGTTTGTGGTTTCTCCCTTGACCACAGACCATAGTCTATTTTCTTCACATGCTTCCTATTTACTGGAGCTTGCTCTTGTCACTGTATTTGTGAGCATGTGTTAGGAGCTGGCTCTAGTGTGAGAAGAGGTGTGGGTTTAACATTTGGAGCATTTGAAGTGCTCACAGTTTAGGTGGATTGGACCGTCCAGTGAAGATTCCCAGTGGCCCTTGGGTGAGAGCTTCCTGCTAGAGCCATTTTCTGCTTATAATTGAAAATTTTAAGCCATTTGTACTTAATGTGATTACTGCATCAAATCACTTACTTCTGCCATTTTACAATTTTTTTCTCCATGTCTCATACCTTTATTCTGTTTCTTAAATTCTTCTTTATAGACTTACTTTGTAATTGATTTTTTTTTCTAGTGTCCCTAGCACTGTGCCTTGTCAGAGGGTGTTATGGAAAATTTCTGTGCCTATAAATGCTTTGGAATAAAGCCCTCTGGGAAGCTATCCTTCCCTGGTTATGCTCCAATTTTGATAGGTTTTGCACTGCCCTTTGAGGGATTTGCCAGACATGTTGAGGCCTACAACCACAATATTTTTAGAACAAGGTTCATATTGTTCCCTCTTTATTACCACAAAGCAGATGATTCTTACCCAAGTCTTTCCCTCATTGCTGTAAGTTCTACTGGGTTCAAAACCTATTCAAAAGTTAATTCTGATCACTTTTGCAATCTCATTAGTTGATTTTATGAGGGGACATAACCCCAGAGTTGGTGACTCTGCTATTTGCACTGTCCCTTTTTATCATTGACTAGAGGCCCAGTGCATGAAATTTGTGCGCTCGGGAGGGGAGTCCCTCAGCCTGACCAGTGCCCTCTCCCAGTCTGGGAGCCCATGGGGGATGTCCAACTGACGGTTTAGGCCCACTCTTTGTGGGGAGCGGGCCTAAGCCAGCAGTCAGATATCATTAGTGCTGCTGCCACTGTGCTCACCAGCCCTGAGCCTGGCTTCTGGCTAGGCAGTGCTCCCCCTGTGGGAGCTCACTGATCACTGGGGGCCAGCTCCTGCATTGAGCGTCTGCTCCCTGGTGGTCAGTGTGCATCATAGCGACCAGTCGTTCTGCTGTTTGGTTGATTTGCATATTAGCTTTTTATTGTATAGGATTTTTCATAGTTCTTTATAATATGGGTATTAATGTGTTATTCTTATTGTAACTATTTTTCTAGTTTGTTGTTTTGTAATCAGAACCAAGATTCCACTGCCTGCTGCCATGAAAACCAAACTCCTGAGACATATGCTGGTGAAAAGGGAAGAGCTTTATTTTATTGCTGGCATCTTGAGAAGATGGGGACTCTTGTGCAAAGCCCATCCTAGCATTTCAGTGCAGGCAGGGGTTTTATAGGGAGACAGAGGGTAACCCAAACAAAGAGATCAGGAGGAGGGGCTATGGACATGCAGTGTCCTTGCTGGTCCTGATATAGATTGCTAATGTCAGTATACTGGAACTGGTCAGTATTAGCCAAATTCCTGAAGTTGAGCTATCTGTGTCAACCAAAGTCATGGTCAAGATAATTTCTTCTTTCTCTTTATTTAGTTAATAATTTTTAATGTTGACATTATTGTAGGTGTCCCCCCTTTTCCCACCTTTGCCCAACTCCACCCACTCTCACCTCCCCCTACCTTGGCCTTCACCAAACTATTATCCATGTCCATGGAGTATGCATATAATGTTTGTTAGTACATTTTATTCTAATTCAGTTTCATGGTTAGTCAGAGTATTATAAAGTCTTCATTCCCTGTTAGTTTTTGTTTTAATTTTTGTTCATGGAGTATTTTTTATTATATTTATGCTCTTTATGTGTGTTTTTTATGTTACTAACCAACTTATAATGTAAAATTGGAAACTCCAAAGGCCTAGTACATTTTCAGAAGATCAAAAGAACTCAGTAATATGCTTTTCCTCTACCTTTCTGCAGCCTAGTGTGTCAGAAATAAAAACTGGTTACCTTTCCATCATCATGGATCCTGAAGAGATGCCCCTTGACCAACAGTGTGACAGGCTTCCTTATGATGACACTAAATGGGAATTCCCTAGGGACCGGTTACAATTAGGTAAGAAAAAAAATCTCTGTTATGTCACCCTTCCATATTTCTTTCACAATAGAGCTACAAAATCACTGAGTATAAAGCCCAAGAAAAAGCAATGGCTTGAAATCCAAGATGCACTTAAATCTAAATAAAGTAAGATGTGTTTCAAAGATGGCAATGTGAATAACAAAATAAAAACTTAGGGGAGCAGAATGACATTGCACACATAGCATGCAATTGGGTTATTTTAGATGTCCAAACTGGGAGACCTTAGCCAAGGCAAGTCACCTAACTTTTCTGAGCTCCTTTCTTCCATTATAAAAGGAAAACATTAATAATTATAGGTGTCTAATTTATATTCTGTTGCTACTTTGAGCATGTGGTAAGGTAACATTAGGGAGTGTGTTTTACAAATTTGAACACCTCAAAAAATGAAGGTATTGGTTTACAATGGAGTCTTTTAAAAACAATTTGACTTGGGATCCAGAGTCCTTTCAATAAGATAATATAATGAATGCTCACAGAATGGTACCAAATATTCCAGTAACTAATATGCTTCCTAATGAAGTAGATGACCAGGAGTCTTGATTAAAACCTTATTAACAGGTTTGTGTTAACAACTTCACCTAAAGAACTTGTTTGTGTCGATAGACTATCATAAATCTGCTCCAACCCACATGATCCTTACTGTCAATGGCTGGCATGGGGTGGCTCTTTATTCACTTATTCCACACATATTTATTGGTCACCTACCATATATTAAGCATCATTCCAGGTGATGTGGAGATAGCCATGAACAAAACAGACTTCACAGAGCTCATATTCTATGGGGAGAAATAATAAATATTCCAGCATAATATTATCTAATCATAGCGTTACAAAGAGTAATAAGGCAAGTTCAAGTAATGTAAAGTTACAACATTTCTTTTTTCACATGGGGTAGTCTAGGAAGACCTCCCAGATAATGCTGACTCAGAAATTATGTTGCCCTCATAAAAGCAACCAACTTTTCATTTTTCTCTGGGGTCTTTCAGTGGCTATTACTTATTTTCATTTGTTGCTTCCTCAGGCAAAATTCTTGGTCATGGTGCCTATGGTAAAGTGGTAGAGGCTTGTGCGTTTGGCATTGACAGAGCTTCAACTTGCAAAACAGTGGCAGTGAAAATGCTGAAAGGTAATGTTTATATTCCTTTGGAGGCCATGGGAAGACATTTGTAAGGATACTTGTGGTCAGGTGGAAAACGGGACTGTAAAAGATACAGAATTAAAGTAGTGGAGGGAGGTAATTACAACTAACTTCCACCTTCATTTGACCAGTATTTGTCATGGAAAACTCAGCCATGGACATGAGCCAATCATCATGGAACCTTGTGTGTCAGCCAATTTGTTCTTCTTTTGGGTTCAACCACATAAATACAGAAGTAAAGACCTAAGGTTTTTAGTTGTTGGTAAGGCCAATATGAGTCAGCAAATGTATTTGGCCACCAGAATTCCTACATGGTCTTTCACTGCATCAGTAGAAGTAAATGATATAGAAATGTAAATGATGTTTCGATAAATTTCCAACTGGATTCTGCATTGGTTGGGCCACATAAGCTTGTAGTGTAGCTCCTATCTTGAATAGATAAATTTGTGTATATTTAAACACCCTAATGTGATCCAATCCATGTCCTGACTCCACACAGGAAAATGCTTAAATCAAACTTGGCCAGTTCACCAATTACCTTTTCCAGGATAGTAATGCAGAAATAATTTATCACAAAAGAAATAGCTATCAAAGAATATATTTTTCAAAAAAGTAGAAAAGTAGTTAAAGCTGTTAGTACATAAATCTCAGCATCCAGGCAGGCTAGTGCACATGAAGATATTATTATTTCATTTATAATATTGTTTTGAAAGCACAAAAACTGATCATTGTGTTATGGATATTTCTGCCAGGATTCTTTAGCATTAAACAGGATCTCCTATGCTCCTGCAACCTCTCCCAGGAGAAACAATTCTTTTGTGCATTACTGTGTTTATTTCAAGCAGATTGTGCAACTTCCAGTGAGTTTAAGGCTTTGATGTCAGAATTGAAGATCCTCATTCACATTGGTCACCACCTCAATGTGGTTAACTTGCTGGGTGCCTGCACCAAACCTGGAGGTAAGGAGTCGTCCATACCTGGCCAGAACATCCCTCTAAGGGTCAGAGCACTCAAACACAAGCTGTGCCCTGATTTAGACAGGCCTCGATGTACTGTATGTGAGGTCTTCTAACTTAGAGACTCCTCGTAATGCATGGGATTTCCAGAACCCATGTTCTTTGACCCCTGTTCCTAGAAATACTGTACAATATATAAAGGGATTGGATATATCTCTAAAATTCTTGCCAGCTTGGACCTCCAATAGAATCTTTGACACATTAGTTGAAGAGAAAACATTTGTGTGCTAAGGAGGTATGCAAACATATTCAGGGAAGGGGATTCCATAAACCATCTTCTGATACCTATCTTAGCTTTCACCTTCTTAGGTTAACACCATAGCCCGAGAAGGAGTTTCTCCCACTTAGTCAGTAAGAAATTCTACAACCCCTGTCTGTTTACAGATTTGAAGTCATTCTCTCAACTACACCAAAAGCCATTTAGTTGTTCCTCTATTACTGTGCTACTGAAAAGTTGTCTCTTTCATCTAATTTTATTTTAAACATTTTATGAGTCCTTCTGATTTTATCTGCGGTACTAAGCAAGGGGTTTGGAGAGTGTAGCGGGACCATGGTGCTGTGCAACTACACAAAAAAATACAAGAGGCCTCCAGACCACATATAATTTGTGGTTATGGGCAAGCACAGAGAAAATGTAGGCTATGGCAATCCTGCAGACAGTCTTGAACCATGGAGTAACACGATGACAGTTGAGAAATGCATTTTAGCAAGATAGTGGTGGTGGGGTAGAATAACAGTGTGGAGGATAGAAACAGGAGCCCCAGTTACTAAATGGAAAAACTATCCAGCTAGTTGGGTACTCATTTGCCTTCATCATTGGACTGTTAGCTACATGTGGTCAGGTGCTCTGTCATACTCATTTCTATGTCCTTCATGTTAGCCAGCCTACAGAACACCACAGTAAAGTCCACTGTGCTTTATTGGCCTTATTTTCCCTCTTCTGCCAAATCTTCCCGCAGCCAACTCTCAGCCAGGCAGCTGTTTCTGGGATAAATCACCATTGTATTCAGCACAAGTATTCAGTCAACTGGTTTATACCTAGAGAAATCCTGTGTGAGTCAACAGGTTACCAGGACAAGACCAGCCCAAGAGTTGGCTACCCTTCATATTTCTGGAAAGATGACTATGGTCATTACTTTTGGTAGGTCCTCTGATGGTCATTGTAGAATTCTGCAAATATGGAAATCTGGCCAACTTTCTGAGAGGGAAGAGAGGAGATTTTATTGCTTCCAAGGTAGGTTTCCCCAACTGAACTCTACAATCTATTTTTATTTTTAATACTATCTGAAGATTTTCTAATTATAAAAGAGAGAGAAGAGTGGGAAAGCAGAGGGAAAAATACTACTGGTCAGGGGAGGTAGGGTATGCAATTATACATCTAATACAGCCTTGAACTCAATGACCTCTTCAGCATTCTCCTGGTGTTGGCTGAAATTATGTCATTGGTTAGTGTCACCCTCAGTTTAAAATATTATATCCAGAGTAGTTAGATAGCCCAATTCCCTTTATGCTTTTATTCTTTCATAGCCATCAACTTGAGCTCTCTGATATTACATAAAGCTCTGGGAGCTTCATGAAGCACCTAGACTGGCTCTGGGAAAAATAAATTTTTAAAAATTAAATGTTAGCGTGACAAGATTTCAAGTGTACCATTATAAGACCCTTTCATTTGGATAATTTCCAGCCCTGAGGAAATGGTCAGGGGCATATGTCACCAACATGTCAATATTCCCCTCTTTTCACTTTCCTACTCTCTGTAGATGGACATGCTGCCACTGACCTTTTCTCTGGGGGACGGTCAACTGCCTCTATTTCTCAAAGTACTGCAAAGCACTGTGCCATTCACTGCTTTATTTATAAAAATACCTGACTTTTTTTTATGAATTCAGAAAAGAGCCCCCAGAATCCAGGGTGTCATCTGACTTGGTATTCTGAACCCAGCTAGCAATTGGTTAACTCAAACCATAAGTTCTTCCTCTACTCTAATTTTAGCATTACGAGGAGTAATGGTAATTAAAACGAGAGGGTGTCTTCTTTTTATGACATATGATCAATTTTTAAGCACAGAGCTCAGACACTTTTGGGGTACCACATGCCACCAAATATACTAGCCCCGTGAAAGCCTGCTGACTTGTTGGGTAAGGAAACTTCTTCAACAGCCATATCTGGGATGTTTCCTCTCACCAGGGATGAGTCAACTGACATTATGGAGCATGGAACAGAACCGTATACTAGTAGTCAGCACTCTCAGCTTCCTCCAAGACTTTCTGTCTGAGCAATTTTCTTACACCTCTTTAGACCTCAGTTTCCCTAATAGAAATATAGGGTAGGACAGAATTGATAATTTTTAAGTCTCTTTCAGCTCTGAGGATCTATTTAAACTCTCAGGTCCTTCTCAATCTGGATAAAAAGGGGAAGACTTCTCATGATTCTGACTGTAAGCCCACCCAGCTGATTAACCACCGTCTGGAGAGTGTGACTAGCACAGGAAGTTCCACCAGCTCTGGTTTCATTGAGGACAAGAGCTATAGTGAATCTGACGAGGAGGAAGAAAGTAGCCGCCACCTTCTGGGGGCCACAATAACCCACCGAATAGGTATGTGGGGTCATTTTCTGACCAACACTCAAGGCTATTAGAGGTTTGAGGATATGGTTTGGTTTGGAGAGTGAGGCCACTTCCCAGCAAGGTTATACTAGGGGTTGAGGGAGATGATCCAGAAAACCATGTCTTCCTCTGTAACTGTTGATATGCAGTTTGGAGGACATTTGTTTCTGAACTCAACTTGCACTTCTGTAACCAAACGGAAGTTGTTTACAATGACAGTCTCCAACATTGGTCTATACCTTTACAGTTTCCAAAGCACTTTCCAATAACTTATTTCCTTGAGCTTTATAACTTTCCTGTGAGATAAATAGGTATGCTTATCTCCATTTGACAGAGGAAAAAACTGACACTCAGCATAGGGATAATATAAATTATACTTAACATATACTGCCTGATAGTCAAAATATTTAACAGATGTGTAAGGTATTGACAAATGGCTGTTGCTATGTAAACATTTTACAGATATTAAAATATTTAACAAATATTGGCACAGTTAATGATTAATCAGATGCCTGATGTAGCTCTGGAGCAGGATCTTGGGGTATCTGGATCATGGTAAAATCTGGGCAGGGATATGATAACTGCAGTGGAGAGGGCACTTGGAGAGCTTGTAAGAATAACTATTCACCAATAAATATAGAAATATTTTAAAGATAAGCAACAATTATAGGTTCACCAGCATGTACCATCTCAATATTGATCTGGCTCAGCTAAGAGTAGGCTCAGGTAGCCCACTTCTTTCCATGTTACACTACACACCTAGTTTGGACTGACAGGTTAAAGCATTCACTTTGAGTTACACTTGTCTTATTCTGCCTGACACTGGCATCCACTGGTGCCCCTGATATTTATGGTTCTGTTCCTCTTATTTTACTTTTGGTCACAAATAAACTGTGTCTGGATTCAATGCATGATGGGCCATATACTGTCCTGTGAATGAGAAGATTGGGGTTTTATTACTGGCTCTACCACTGATATAATTTGTGACCTTGGATAAGTTAAATCTCCTCTCTAGGCTTTATTTTCTCTATTTGTAAAATTACAGTAGAGACCTGGACTAGAGTCTTTGTAAAAGCTCTTATAATCCTAATATATTATAATATAATATAATCAGAAAGAGCAGAAGGAATTTCTGAACTTTGCATCTATTAACCTAAATTGGGGGAAAGTGATCTAGCAAAGAGTGTGCTATATAGTGACCAAGCATTGTGATTTTAAAAACTCAGACCTGTCCTGGCCATGAATTATGGGAATTTTTTAAAACTTTCCAAACTTTGGCATCCCATATATATCTTCCAGATTATTCTTGCACCCAGAATTGGCAACAAAATCTGGAAAAATCATGTATTCAATTTTTGGGGGGGATGGGGTGGGGAAGAGAATAGTCAAGGTATGAGCTGTTGAATCCCTGAAGATAATCTTATAGATTATTTTGATTCAGAAGAGTATATACCCATCATTTAGAAAAACACAGGAGGTCATAGTAGAGTAAGGTCAGTCAATGTCCTGTTGTCAAAAATCTTGGCCTCCATTTTACAACTTTTTATGGAAGGCAGGTCTTTCTTTTTATCTCTTCCCTACTGCTATTTCTACAGACTTGTGGGGAAGTTTTCAACCTCTGGCCTTTTTCTTCAACCTTCTTTCACTTCTCTAGATTCAAATAATCTCGACAAGCACCCCCTCACCTTGGAGGACCTGATCTGCTATAGCTTCCAAGTGGCCAAAGGCATGGAGTTCCTTGCTTCCAGAAAAGTGAGTGTTTATTCTTCTGTTTCTTTCATTTTTACTATTTATGGAGGTATATTTCCGTGATACCAGTAACCATAAATAGCTTTTTAAATAGTGCACTCTTATGCTTGTTTGTCTTCCTTTTTTGAATTGTTATTTGATTAATTCATATATGTTCACCCTACAGACAGCTACTCATCTGCCTACCTACAGTTGTTAGGGACTTACTTTTCAAACTCCAATCTGAGAGATGGCTGGAATATTTCATTCCAGTAGTGCAGGTTATTATATATTGAAATAAACATTTTCAGCAAATATCTGTTGATTGCTTATTATGTTATCTATGCTAACAGCTGGAGATACAGACATTAAAGATACTAATTCTTTTTCCTAAGAATCCACTTATGTAGACAGATACTATATATAACAAAATAGGTTGGATCCTATGAGAGAAGTATGAAATAAGTGCTTTGTGACTATATGGAAGGAAGTCTAGATAATTTATTGTCTTCTCAGAGGACTTTGTATTTAAGCAATATCATGATGGCTTGAACACAAGGAAATTTTCTATAGTTCTCAAGACTAGAGCATAGGATGCATGGAGGTGTGGGGATGAGAAACTGTAGCTAAACAGAGAGCTTGACATTGATTATGAAAAGCTTTAAACATCATACAAAGAAATGTGAACTTTGATGGTTTCCAATCACCACAAAATAAAAGTTTTAAGTAGGAGCACACTCAGGTTTGTGTTTAAGGAACTGGACTTTGGGACTAGAGTGGACTATTGAGTAGTTCATGGGGCTAGACTGGAGGCATAGGTAACAGTTAGATCACCATTGCAATGGTCCCAATGAGGGAAAGGAAAGGTCTCTGTGACCCATATTACTAGCAGTGGAATGCATTGGAAAGAATAGATTTATGTTCCAGGGTTCAAAGGACAAAACATATTAGTGTAGCCAAATGGGAGAAACCATTCCATGTAATGGAGATTCTGCCCACCCAGCCAAATTTCAGAACAGACCAACTCATCAGTCTCTCAGCAAATTTTAGCTTGATCACATTTTCTCAGGCTGAGCACTTCTAAGACACTTTCCTGTCCTGAATTTTCATGCCTTTCCCCTCCACACTCAGTACTCAGCATGTCTCCTTGCTGAGAATCGGTAAACCTGCACCATCCTAGGGCCTAGCAATTATCTGAGCCACATTTGTCTCTTTTCTTTAGTGCATTCATCGGGACTTGGCCGCTCGGAACATCCTTCTAGCTGATAATAACATTGTGAAGATCTGTGACTTTGGTTTGGCCAGAGACATCTACAAAGACCCCGACTATGTCTGGAAAGGAGATGTAAGTGCAAGGTTCACTGGCACAATGCCCTAGGCTCAGGCTCTTGGGCTCTGTTGGTGTTATGGATGTTATTTTCATGGCTCTCTCCCATTTTGGTTTTCTAGGCAAGACTCCCCCTTAAGTGGATGGCACCTGAAGCCATTTTTGACAAGGTTTATACTACTCAGAGTGATGTGTGGTCATTTGGCGTCTTGCTGTGGGAAATATTCTCTCTGGGTAAGTGTATCTCTTTATGGCCATTCCCTCACCATTCCAAGTCAACACTGACTATAAGCTCAGAACTTAAAAGACCTTGGTCTGTGGATATAATGGAATCAGATAGAAAACCATTGTGACCAAGAACCAACAAAAACTGTCTCGTTCTTTTACTGATTGATCAAATTTACTGAAAAAATATTTATTGAGGACCTATTATGTGCCAGGCATTCTAAGTGCTGGGGATTCAGTGGTAAACAAAACAGATGGTAATCCCTGCCACCATGGAGCTTGCATTCTAGTCAGAATAGACTGAACATAAACAATTAACAAATAATATATGGAAAATTTTTTTCAAGTTTACAAAAACTTTAATAGTACAAATTATCCAGATTGCAGATTATCAAAAGATCATCTCAATAAAGTCCACATTAAAAAAAGGACAAAGCATAAAATAACCCAAAAACAATGAAAAGAGGAAAACAACATAAAGGAAATTCATCAACAAAGCTCTGAAACTTAAAACTGGAGACAGATGGAAATAAGACATTTATACAACGCACTCATCCACTTTTGCCTTATCTGTTCTGGGGCTTGATTTTTGATCACATTTCTTATCTTTATCATGTACCTGGCCATTTTCTTGACCCTTGAATTTTTGGTTTTCTTTTTCAACTGAGAATCTGGTCTCCTCGTCCTCCTTATTTTTCAATGTGGGGAACTTCAATTCATTGTCCTGAATACTTTGTTTTCTTTTTGAGAATGGACTTTGATCTCCATCAGCCTTTTTATCCCTGTTATTATTTGAACTATTACGATCAGGATTTTTAGAGCACATTCTCTTCTCACCCTCAGAATTTTCTGTGTGAACTCTTACTTTCGTTTTTTATTTATTGATTAAGGTATTACATATGTGTCCTTATCCCCACATTGCCCCCCACACCCCCACTCATGCCCTCAACCCCCTGGTGTCTGTGTCCATTGGTTAGGCTTATATGCATGCATACAAGTCCTTTGGTTGATCTCTCCCCCTTACCCACACCCTCCCCTACCTTCCCTCTGAGGTTTTATAGTCTGATCAATGCTTCTCTGTCTCTAGATCTGTTTTTGTTCATCAGTTTATGTTGTTGATTATATTCCACAAATAAGTGAGAGCATGTGATATTTATCTTTCTCCGACTGGCTTATTTCGCTTAGCATAATTATGCTAGTTAAGGCAGTGTGAAGAAAACTTAGAAGAGAGTTAGGGAGTGTTGGGATGGAGCAGAACATGGATTAAATTTTAAATTGGGTGGTTAAAGAGGGCCTTACATAAAGTGAAATGCTTCAGTAAAGACCTGAAGAGTGAATAAACGAGCCACAAACCTATCTGGGAGAAGAAATTTTTAAGCCAGGGAAATAGCAAATGGAGTGTGCCCAGTAAGTTTAAGGATCAGGCAGGAGACTACTGTGGCTAGAGTGGAGGAGTAAGAGTAGCTGGAGGTGAGGTTAGAGACGGAAAGAGGTAAATACATCAGACAGGGCTTTGTTGGCACAGAGAGATTAACTTTTTAAAAAATGTACTGTTGGCACTATTACAGACATCTTCCTCCCATCCTTTGCCCACCTCTCCTTTAAAAAGACTTTTCAAAGAGCCAGAATTTGATCCCAGTCTATCTGATTCCCAAACCCCACTTTTAACCACCATGCATACTGCCAAGCTTACTCAAGCCATATGTGGTGTTAGTGTTTCAAAATCCTATGGAGCCCTGAAGAATGTTGCACAGCAAAACTTGAAACCAGTCCTCCAGACTCCCAGTCCCACATTCCTGATACTTGGAAGAAAACCTTCAAAGATTTTAGGAAGCCTAGAGATGATGTGATACAGGCTTTTTAAAAAGAAAACAATGCTCTGACATGTATTAGTCTGCATCCCACATCATGACCCTGAATCAAAGGCTTGTCTGTGGTGCCAAGGGATTTTTAAAAATATATATTTTTATTGATTTCGGAAAGGAAAGGAGAAGTAGAGAGAGATAGAAACATCAATGATGAAAGAGAATTGTTGATTGGCTGCCTCGCTTGCAACCTTGGCATGTACCCAGACCAGGAATCGAACTGTGACCTCCTGGTTCATAGGTCGACACTCAATCACTGAGCCACACTGGCCAGGCCCGAGGGATTTTTATTAAAATCATCCAGGTAGGCCTGTTTGGGAGCCAGGTGCACCTAACTCTGATGATAAATATTTTCTTAAGTATCTATGTCACAATATAGATGAGGATTCAAATGTTTATAGATCACTGAGATTTAAAGTAATTGGAAGATATTTGTCTTGTCCACAGAGGCTGCTTTTGCCTTCATCTGGAATGTCTGGTCTCTCTGTCTAGTCCAGGGGTGGGCAAACTTTTTGACTCGAGGGCCACAATGGGTTCTTAAACTGGACCGAAGGGCCGGAACAAAAGCATGGATGGAGTGTTTGTGTGAACTAATATAAATTCAAAGTAAACGTCATTACATAAAAGGGTACGGTCTTTTTTTTTTTTTAGTTTTATTCATTTCAAACGGGCTGTATCTGGCCCGCGGGCCGTAGTTTGCCCACGGCTGGCTAGTCTCTGAGATGAAAAGTATTTAAGAGGTGGAGAAAGAAAAGATGTTTGAGCAAAGGGGAAACAAAACAATTTGGTTTTTACCCAAGTAACATGTGGAATCAAAAGCTGAAGCAGTAAATTAGGACAGTGTCAATAAGAAATATTGATATACCAAACAACTTGAATTTCAGAATAGGCTTCTCCATACTGGATCTTTGCTCAGAAAGGAACATCTTCCCACCACCCATCCTACACACATAGCCTTTTGAGAATAGGCTTCATTGGGAAGAAGTAAGATATTTGCTAGCACTGCTTTCTCCAAAACTTCCGGGGATTGAGAAGCACTGACTCCATGCTATCCAGTGTGCTCAGGAAAGCAAAGCAACATTTTGAGTCAGATGAATGTTAAACTGTTCTTTTAACATTTTTTGATGGAAATGTCTTGGATTACACAATTCTTTGCCTCAGTAAATTCTTTCAATCTGCTATTGCTCCTACTGCCATCCCCTCTGATACTCCTCTATTTTTTCTTATCTTTTTCTTTCACCTTTGTTAAATTAACTTCTAGCAGGATCTGAATTCCATAACCCTTGATACCCATATCCACTGATCATATTATGTCTTCGGTAACACCACGACTTTTATTTTTCTTGGTTATTTTTCTGGTAGCTGGAGTTCATAGGTTTTCATGACTATTTCCATGAACAGATCCTGTTTCTATAAGTTGAGCTAGTTAAAAGCTCAGATAAGAAGATGAACAGAATGTTATCAAATATCATCTCACTATTAAATCATAACACATGGAAGAAAACAATACTTTTTATTTAAGAAGTTTAGCATTTGTAGAAAGTACATAATGAATAGGTTAAAATGCTCCATAATTGCAAAGTATTGAACCAATTAAAGAGATTACTATTATCTCATTTAATTGTTGCAACTTCCTGTGAGCTAGAATAGACATTATTATCCACAATTTGTAGATGAGGAAGCTGAGCTTCAAAGAAGTACTGATATACCTGAGGCCACACAAAAACTAGTAGGCGCAGTTGGGATTCAAACTCTAAATGTGATATTAGATTCAATGTCCTTTCTTTTTTAAAAAAAAAATATTTTATTGATTTTTTTACAGAGAGGAAGGGAGAGGGATAGAGAGTTAGAAACATCAATGAGAGAGAAACATTGATCAGCTGCCTCCTGCACACTCCCTACTGGGGATGTGCCCGCAACCAAGGTACATGCCCTTGACCAGAATCGAACCTGGGACCCTTGAGTCCCCAGGCCGACGCTCTATCCACTGAGCCAAACCTCCTTCCTGCTCCCCACCCCCCGTTAACCTCTTTCAGCCTGCTCCAGTCTCCCCCCACCCCGCAGGCCCTCACCACCTTATTGTCTGTGTGCACGGGTTATGCATATATGCATACAAGTTCATTGGTTGATCTCTTCCCACCAATCCTCCCCTGCCTTCCCTCTGAGGTTCAAGAGTCTCTTCATGCTCCTCTGTCTCTGGGTCTATTTTTGATCATCAGTTTATTTGGTTCATTGGATTCCACATATAAGTGAGATCATGTGATACTTATCTTTCTCTGATTGGCTAATTTTGCTTAGCATAATACTCTCCAGGTCCATCCATGCTGTTGCAAATGGTAAGAGTTCTTTATCTTTTACAGCAGCGTAGTATTCCATTGTGTAGATGTACCAATGTTTTTTAATTCACTCATCTGCTCATGGGCACTTAGGCTATTTCCATATTTTAGCTATTATAAATTGTGCTGCTATGAACATAGGGTGCATATATTCTTTCTGATGGTGTTTCAGTTTTCTTAGGATATATTCCTAAAAGTGTGATCACTGGATCAAATGGGAGTTCCATTTTTAATTTTTTGAGAAAACTACATACTGTTTTCCACAGTGGCTGCACCAGTCTGCATTCCTACCAGCAGTGTACTAGAGTTCCCTTTTCTCCACAATCTCGCCCACACTTGTCATTTGTTGATTTGTTAATAATAGCCATTCTGACAGGTGTGCAGTGATAGCTCATTGTCATCCCAAAGCAATCTACAGATTCAATGCAATATCTATTAAAATACCAATGACATATTTCACAGACCCAGAACAAACTCCAAAAATTTATATGGAACCAAAAAAGGCCCCGAATGGCCACAGCAATCTTGAGAAAGAAGAATAAAGTTGGAGGAATCACAATGCCAGTTATACTACAATGCCACTGTACTTAAAAGATCCTGGTACTGGCATAAGAACAGGCATATAGATCAATGGAACAGAACAGAGAACCCAGAAATTGACCCAAGCCAGTATGCTCAATTAATATTTGACAAAAGAGGCAAGAGCATACATTGGAGCAGAGACAGGCTCTTCAGTAAATAGTGTTGGGAAAATTGGACAGGTACATGCAAAAATATGAAACCACCAATTTACACTATACACAATAAT